ATACTACACAGTTATTAACACCTATTTCTGGGAATTTTCCTTTCATTTTATAAATGAGGGAAATGGAGACAGGAATTAAAAATGTATTGCCTGGGACTGTCATTCACTGGGCAGTATGTGTAAATATGATGACTTCTGACTTCCCACCCACGGTGCGTGTCCCCTGGCTATACAGCTCCAGTGGGCACTCCCTTCTGAGTGATCTTTACCTGTCAAGAAGGATCCATTGGTTATCATCCCATCTTACTTTCAGGACACTTTCCAGCATCTGCAATGTGTTAGAAAGCAGCTGTGTTCATTTCACCTCCCTGGTTCCTCCCTCCAGTGCTAACCCATCCTTTTGCAGAAGGGGGAAGAGAAAAACCAGGATGGGAACACAGCTAATGAATTGCAGAGAAACAGACTCAGTTTAGTTCTCACATCTTCTGACTTCTAAATCCCTGCCTTTGTAAGCCAAATGCCTTTGATTTCACGTAGGATTTTGGATGTAGTTCCTACATTTCAAAAAATGACTTAAGGAGTAGTCACTATGTACTTTCAACAGTTCCCAACTGAAGAAAACAAGAGGTTTGAACTTCAGAACATCTGTACTTAGACTAAAGGAGGAACTGACTCCTCACTCCAAACTTATTTTCCGTGGACTGGCATCTAGTGGAAGATAACGCTGGCTATGTCTATAGTAACAACACTGGTGCACAGCCACAGCACCATGGCATTCCTTTGTAGTGTGGTCTTTGGTCTGTGCCAACGAGTGCTCTCCCAGATGATGCCTGAGTGTGGTTTAGGAGTTAGTGTGGGACCATGCTGATTGTCAGTGGCCAGGTTAGATGTGTCCGTCCCCTTTTGGAGGGTAGGAGAACTTTGCCGTCTGGGTGCAAGCTGTGTAATGCCAGTCACCCCCAGGACCAGAGAACAGGCACTGTCCCATTTTATTTAAAAGTACAGGTGCTGTCAAATTGTCCCTTCTTGCAGCATTTGTGGTCCTGATGGGTGGCAGAGTTTTTAATTCATTTCTTCTTTGAGACTGAATGATCCAGCCATGCACCTTGACGTGTTTGCACTCAGTGCCTGCAGCTAGGTATATGGTCAACCAGGCAATGCCTAGGCAGAACCTCGGTGGAGAGAGGAGGCTACATCAGAGCTATTCCCCTCCACCCCCAAATCATCACTGGCTAGCTCAGGGGGGACTCCTGTGCCACCTACCATAGTCACATTCTGCCTGCTGCACCTCCCCTCCTGCTTGGACCAGATCTGAATCTGCCCAAGATTACTGGGATGTTACAGTTGGAGAAGATCAGGCGTAAATAAATAAAACCAAGTAGTTGTGCGGGGGGTTCCCCCCCTCCCCGAGAGAGGAGTAATACAAAAGAAGATCGTGGTAACTATTCACAACTGAGTACCAGCAGCTAATCTTGGTGAGGACTGGATCAGGCCTTAAATGTCTGCTGGCTAAAGAAACGCTGCTGAAGTAATGGTGGTGTTAGCTCTTTTTCTTAAGTGGCATGGATGCTGGGAGCCTTCAGCTCTCCCTTCTCCTGTCACTGGCCCTGGGGAGGGCTAGCTGGACCTTAGCTGGCTTTTAACCTTCTCAAGCAGACTGGAGCTCTGGACTCGGGCTGCCCATCCTGGAGCTTGCTCTGCCATTGAGCACCAGCCAAAGTGACAAAACCTTTCAGCCCTCATGGATTTGGAGGCACCTCCCAGACTTCCCTGTCTCACTGGAAATTGCCTCCCTGCTGTTGGAACATGTGTTGGGTGTACCTGTGTGTGCAGCCCTGGCATGTGCAAGCCTTTTGGGCACATGACTCATTTGTCATTTACAGTCCGGGCCAAGACCCCAAACACCATCCCAGACAACTGGGTCCTATTTCCACTTCCTCTGCTTCTGTTGCTAATCTAGGAAAGTTTATTTTCTCAGACCCTCAGTCTAATATGTAAATGCTATCCTGAGCCAAGGACATTGACCCAACTTTCTGAGAGAGACCAAGGGTGTATACTTAAATAGGTAAAACTTGAGTGCATCTCATTTGAGATGGACTTTATTCCAGTTTTGTTACCCATGAAGAGTTGCTCCACACTACAGCCTGGGAAGGAGAGTGCTTATCTGCCTCCTTCCACAGGAGAGGAACTGGAGCCCGTGATCTCCTGGCTGCCTGTGTGGGATAGTGCACCTTTGGCAAGGAGAGTTACTTGAAGCTGGGGAGGAGGAGGAGGAGTGGGATCCATTTTGGATACCACATGGGGATGCCTGTTGAGTGTGCATTGCTCACAGGAGACTGCACCAGGGCTTACGCGAGAATATGGAGGAGTTTGGGCAGTAAGCCAAACCAGGCTGGGTTGTATGAAACACAAACAGAAAATAGCAATTTGCAATGCCTCGTAACTCAATCAAACCTGTAAAGGGCTTCATCAGGCCAGACCTGCCAAATGTCTCATTTCCTTTCCAAAACCACAGAGCCCTAGGAACTCTTCAGAGACATTTACAGGGACCTTTGGTGATGGGAAGGGTTAGGTGTAACATTGTTAATTGTCAAGGCTCACAATGCAAGCTTTTATTTCATAGATATTAAAATTAGAAGGTGGTGGTGTGATCCTCTCATTCGGCCTCTGACATAACGGTTGCTGTACTGAGCCTAATAATGTGTGCGTCAAGTCTGTTACGTATTTTAGAAAAGTCTTCGCTCTCTAAGTCATAGAAACTTCTGCCCCAGCGGTTAATTATGTCTACTGAAACACACCTGTTTGTTTCTGGCTTTGTTTGGTGCTGCATGTTCAGCAGTTGACCTAAGTACCCAGCTGGTACTTCTTTTAAAAAGGGAAGTTTCAGGATGTGGCTGGCTGCATATTATTTCTTTGATTTAATTCTCTGGAAAGAAGACCGTAATTGTCATTACAGGGTTACTGGAAAGCTGAAGTGAGACCTGTGTGGTGCATTGTGATGTTCGGTTCTTTGGTGTGGGAGGTGTGGGTGGCATCCCTGTTGAATGTAAAGAGCAGTGACATATTGGTAATGTGCTGTTGCTGCTTCTGTGCGTTCAGAGCTGAGCTAATACTTGAAGGTTGCCAACATGGCGTGTGCTGAAGTTGAGTCAAATTAGGATAGCCTTACTTACAATGTTTGTTTCGTGTAAGAAATGTTAATTCTAGATGCTTATCTAGAATAGCATCAGTGTAACTGGCTGAATTAGCAACCACAGGCCAAAGTATGACAGAAATGTAAGGCTGTAAAACACATCAGCTGGTAGGGATTAGGAGAGTGCTCTGCCTCCATTAGGTCAGTTATAAACCATTGTGAGCTATTTTTCTATTAAAGAAGAGGTCTCAGTTAATGAATTGTTGTGTGTGGGAATTAATGCTGGATGAGTCCCCCGTGGCTTTCATGATGAGGGTCAAATAAAATATTAATCAAATTAAAACAAACAATCCCCTGCTCTTCCCAAGTACCTTCCGGATGGGTTTCTCTGGTCAGGGAAAATGTGGAGCCCCACAAGAGACAGGCCGGTGTCATTACTCCTTTTACACAGGTAGGGAGATGGAAGCAGTGGAAAGCAGCGACCCTGGGGCCACACAGTCCAGCAGCAGGACTGTACAAGAGGTCCAGGAGTTCTCTTGTCTCGTGCCTTTGCTCTGATACCTAGTTTCAGCTCCCTTCTCAGAGAAATGAAAGTACATCCAGACTGCTCTTGCACTGGCCAGCTGGCAGCTGATCTTTCCAGGTCTGGGATGGCCTTTAGAAGTCCCAAATCTCAAGTCTTCTTATACTTACTCACAAAACTTCTCTGTGCTCCCAGACCAGAGAATATAAACCAGGAGATGTGCATCTCTTCTCCCAGTGCCTCATCCACAGGACACATTTCCTTATCTTGCAGATTGTCCATTCCAGAGGCCAAGTATAGGATCTCAAATGACAGGCTGGGGAAAGACAGTCTCTTTGGTTACACCTGCGCAGTATAGTGCGGTGCAAAGATCTTGAGCTGGATGGAGCCAAGCAAACTAGCTTCAGGAGCAGCATCCCTGAATCACTTCAGTCCAGCTCCCAGGCTCTCAGTCCAGTTCCCAGGCTGACACATTCATGGTGCTTTCCTACTCTAAACTAGGAACTGTGTGGCATTACAGGGTGTTAAATAGCTACAGTGCTTTTGGACATAGCACAAAACTGTAAATTTATTCAGAGGGAGCTCAGAAATCTTCTCGCTGCTGCACAGTGTAGGGATGTACTCTGCATCTCTGGGCACGACTCTTTGGTGAGAAGGAGTCCAGTGTATGGAAAAGAAGGAGACCTAGGCAGGCACTCCAAGCTAAACAGAGTTGGTTCTGTTTGTGTCATGCAAAATCAAAGCTAAATGGATTTTCTCGCACCTATTTGTGTACCTTGGACACTGAACAGCCTAAGCAAGACTTGTCTCATTTTCTGTGTAACATGCTGGTGCATGTTACATGTGCATATGCTCTGGAGACAGTAGGGCTATATAATACCCCTTCAGCAAAGGCCACTGGGGGCTCATTATGCAGAGCTGGCTAATGACAGCACATGGCCAGTTAAGGATAGTGTAACTTACTGCACTGACAACAAGTGCAAGGAACTTACGAAACCAGAAACATTGTCATTAGGAATATTTTAAAGCACTTTCCCATTATTTTTTCCCCTCTCTCTGAAGATCAAATAAACAAGGAACTGGAAATACTAAAATTATTTCAGAGGACGATCAACATACTGATAACCATCCCTCTCTGCTTCTTCCAAAAAACTGGAGGACTGCCTGCCTCTCATTGTGTTGGTATCACTCCTAGAAACTGGAAATCCAATGTGACAGTGGCCAAATCTTTTCCCCTTCTGATAGGGAAGTTTATTGCATTTTTAGTAAAGATCCTTGCATCTGTAAATAATAATTAAGGAAACAGTACTACTTTTGTCATATTTCTATAGCAGACCACAAAAGGATGTCCTATAGTCCACTCACTCTTTCTCCCCTCTCATCTCGTCTGCCTTTCAGGATTCACCGGAATCTTGTTGCATTGCTGGTGTAAGCCCCCCTTCCAGAAGAACTGCTCTTGCTCATCTCCACCTCCCCGGGAACAGCCGAAGGGGGGTGCGGAGTGAAAAAAATTTATGTTTTCATCAAACCGGGCCAAGGAGAATGGGGGTCCCACACCCAAAAGAATGAAGACACGACAGAACAAGGACTCAGTACGTGAGAGGGGGCGTGGGACACCAGAGACAAGCTGGAGCTGTGGGTTGGGACTGAGGCTCACCGCAAAGCTCATGGACATGAGTTTGGCATAGTGGAGTGCCAGGGGTTCAGGGGCTTTGGGAGGCTGGGGACAGGGCAGGAGTGGAGGGAGGTGCAAAGAAGGACTGATTCAGTGATCTCTCTCTTAGATGTCAATGCGGAGTGGACGGAAGAAAGAGACTCCAGGGCCCCGAGAGGAGCTCAGGTCACGGGGTCGAGCTTCCCCCGGGGGCGTCAGCACCTCCAGCAGCGATGGCAAGGCTGAGAAATCCCGACAAGCAACAAAGGTAGCATAAGCTAGTACACCAGCGTGGGCTACCCGAGGACTGCCCACACCGGGTGGGATCTGTTTGGGGATCCAGGGACGCAGACCTGAAGGAATCCACTGAGGAACCCATGCTGGGTTAGCTCTCTGGAATGGGTGGGATCCCTCTTTCCTCAGTATCTTGCACTTCCCATCATCTCCCAAGAACTGGTCTTCCGTCTTGCCAGCCCTTTTTAGTGCTAATTTTTGCCATATTCTGGATCGGCGTTGCACTGCTAAGCTCTTCAACACATGTGCCGTGGTGGCTATGTCCCACCTGCTGCAGTCTGTGAAGGTCTGGCAGGGTGGGAAGTTTCCCCATGATCCTCCCACCTCCCTGTTCTCCTCTCCCTTGCAGAAAGGCCGGGTGGAGGAATCCTGCACCCCCAAGGGTAGCAAGCAGGGCCGAACAGAAGAGATCTCGGAGAGCGAAGGGGAGGACACCAATGCTCCCAAAAAAACCAAAACCGAGGTAAGTTGCCCCTGCTGTGATTGCTGGAATGTCCTGGGTCCGGGGCAAAAGATTCTCCTGTTCCCTACCTGTGCTGCTCACACCTGCCCAGATTGAGGTTCCCGCTGCTTGGGAGCCCTGGCACCTTGGGTTTCACACTGCAGCTCTTCCAACCTCAGTGGCATCTGCCTGGCTACAAAAACACCCCCAGGAGTGACAACTGAGCAGATGGAGGCTCTCCATCTCTTTTGCCTTGTCTGCAGGGGACTGCTGCACCCTGGGGAGCTGGGCACGTACCCTGCCTTTCCTGGCTTAGTGACAAGAGCCTGGTTCCGTGTGCAGCTGCCAGTCAGGTTAGACTCGGCCACTTTTGCTCCCTCAGAGCAGCGTGAGACGGAGGTGCTCAAGTCTGGGTAATGGTTGTGCAAAACGTGCTCACGCACACACTCTGCATAGCTGTGGCAGGCTTTTCCAAAATGCCGACAGCACCGGGCTGATCAGTGATGAGATGGTTGGAGGAAGACTCAGCTCTTGCACTTCTCAGTTCCCTGTTAGCCTGTTCAGGGAACTGGCTGTAAAGGCCTACAAACACAGGGATATTTGCTCATGTTATGAGGACATGGTAATTAAACCACTGTGGCTACACCTGTGTAATTTCTCCACGTGGACACTTCATTCAGCTCTACAGTGATTGTTTTTCAGTTTAGCCTCTCTTGTAAGCCCCTGAGGCTCAAAAGTGGCATTTGTTGATTGTCCATGCTAACTGTTGAATCACTGATGCTTCATTGCCTGAGGCGAGAGGTGGTGGGGAGGAGCAGGGATTGGGAAGTGCAGGGGGGACATCTGGAGGTAAGGAGCAGGGCAGCCAGAGGAGGGAAACGCTCAGGGCAGGGGGCCAGAGGGAAGCGGGTCTCCTCACCGAGGGAGAGCCCTGCGGGGACAAGAGCAGCAATCCCGGGCCTGGGGGCTGTGCTGGGCACACTGTGGTGCATGCTGCTCCATGTCAG